GGAATAAGCCGACAATGTGAAAGGTGAATTATATCCCGAAAACTTCACTAATGGGTGTGAAGAGCCGGCGAAGAGTTTTGCTGGTGAATGAATGCGAGCAAAATATTCGAATTTATCTAGCTGAAGACATCAAGCAATTGCGTGCTTGCTTGGCATAGTTTCAGGATACTTCAATTAAATCCACACTATCGACAATTTGTCTGGCAACACTCGAGTTGATAATACTATAGCGACAACTTGTTGGCGAAGTTGAGAACAAGTTGTTTCAGTGTGTGGTCGAGTTTCCAGCTAGTTTGGATGAAATGTGTAAAGTTCATTATATTATTTATATAGCTCGGTTTCTTTCAGCCAAATGGTCAGTTTCTCTAAAGGAAGAGTTTTATATTTTTGCTATGTCCAATGGCAAATAATTCCAAAGTTTCACTTGTGAAGAGATCAGTTTGCTTTAAGCGTGTTTTCAATTGGGATTTATTTTTTGGATTTAATAAATATTATAATTTCTTTCAACTTAAATGGCAAGACGATTTTGATAAAGAGCTGGGTTTCTAGCAACTAAACCGTCAGTTTTATTTCCGTCCGTCGAATTAGTACAAAGTTTCACTGCCAAAATTCAATTTACTTCTTAGTTTAATTCAATTGGGAGTCAGTTTTTACGTTTTAGTTTTAGTAGTGTTTCTCGCTGGTCAAGCACGCTAAGGAAAAAAATTGAATTCTCGCCATTTTTGTCGCAAGTTTACCCGAAATGTTATTTAGAAAACAAGCAGTTTTCTTCTTAGTTGCTTGCATCTGGAGCCCAGTTTCCAGATTAGGGATATCGTTGCGTTTTTCTTAACTAATGAACAAGTTTCTCTAAAGGAACATTCCGATCTCGATGCTACTTCCGTTGCAAAATTTGCTCAAAGTTTTACTTGCAAAAATGTTGTTTTCTGATTAGGTTCTTGCATCTGAGACTCAGTTTCCAGTCCAGAAAAAAAATATTTACCTAAAAAAATGTAGCTTGCGCATCTCAGCCACAGGTTCCAGATTCCCAAAATAGATGTCATCTAAATGGGCGGTTTTCTTAAAGAAAACTTTCTTTGGATGAAGATTTGGACAACACTACTATTCAGAAACTCGTAAAATTGCAGTTTCTCTCTTAATTTTAGCTCAGGTTTTGCTGAATTTCCATATTCGTGTTTCCCGCAACTAATTGTCCAGTTTCTCTAATAAACATTTCGATATGCTCCCATCCATATAAAGTTTCACTCTCAGAAATTATTTTTTCTTGTAGGTCTTTTTCAAGTGAAACTCAGCTTCAAGGAAAAATCACTACTTGATTGATCCAGATAATCAATTTCGTTGCTTCACCAATTCAATTTTGTTGCTAATTTCAATGACAAATCCCACCCAGAGTTCACTTGCAAAAGGTTCGAATTTATCCAGCTGAAGACATCAAGCAATTGCGTGCTTGCTTGGCGTAGTTTCGGGAAACTTGAATTAAATCCACACTATCGACAATTTGTCTGGCAACACTAGAGTTAATAATAATATAAAGGCAACTTGTGGGCGAAGTTCAGAACAAGTTGTTTCAGTGTGGGGTCGAGTTTCCAGCTAGTTTGGATGAAATGTGCAAAGTTCATTATATTTTATGTTCAATATTGAAAGCTTTTGTAGTTGAATTATTTGCTTTTCTTCCTCTTTAACTCGGTTTCATAGCTGTGTTTCTTTAGATTAAATGCTCAGTTTCTCTAAACAAATATTTTGACCTCGGGTCTATTTCCACTGAGTATCTGATCTATGTTTGTCTCACTGGCCAGTTTCTCTTACTTCCTATCACCAAATTAATCCGACGATTTACTAGCAAAATTCGATTTGCTTCTTGTTCTGTTCGCATTAAAAGTCAGTTTTTAGATTTGAGAAATACCTGTGTTTCTTTCAGTCAAATCGTCAGTTTCTCTAAAGGAAAATTTTTATATTTTCGCTATGTCCAATGCAAAGTTATTCTAAAGCTTCACTTTCAAAAGATCAGTTTGCTTTAAACGTGTTTTCAATTGGGATTTATTTTTCTGATTTGATAAATAGTACTGTTTCCCTCAAATAAATGTCAAGGCGATTTCGATATCGAGCTGAGTTTTTCGTAACTAACGGGATTCCCTTCCTCAAATCAGCACAAACGTTCACTAGCAAAAATGCAATTTGATTCTTAGTTTTCTCCAATTGAGACTCAGTTTTTTCGGTTTGGATTTAGTAGTGTTTCTCGCCAGTAACCGGTCAGGCACGCTGAAGGAAAAATTTGAAGTCGCTCCATATTTGTCGCAAATTTACACGAAATTTTATTCTGGGAAACAAGCAGTTTTCTTCTTAGTTGCTTGCGTCTGCAGTCCAATTTCCAGCTTAGGGAAATCGTTCCGTTTTTCTTAACTAATGGACAGCTTTCTCTAAAGGAAAATTCCAATCTCGATGCTACTTCCGTTACAAGATTTGCTCAGTTTTACTTGCAAAAATGTAGTTTGCTGATTAGGATCTCGCGTCTGAGACTCAGTTTCCAGATTATAAAAATCGATGCGCTTTTCTTAACTAATCGGCAAGTTGCTTTACAGGAAGATTCTGATATCGGTACTCCTTTCGCTGCATAAATTGCTGGAAGTTTCACTTGCAAAAATGTAGCTTGTGCATCTCAACTACAGTTTTCAGATTCACAAAATAGCTGTCATCTGAATGGGCGGTTTTCTTAAAGAAAACTTTCTTTTCATGAAGATCAGGACAACGCCGCTATTCACAAACTGGCAAATTGCAGTTTCTCTTAATTTTGCTCAGGTGTTGCTGAGTTTCCATATTTAGTGTTTCCCGCCACTCATTGCCCACTTTCTCTAATAAAAATTTCAATATGCTCGTATCCAGATAAAGTTTCACAAGCAGAAATTAATTTTTCTTGCATGTCTTTATCAAGTGAAACTCAGCTTCAAGGGAAAATCACTATTTGCTTGATCCAAATGATCAATTTCGTTGCTTAACCAATTCAATATCGTTGCTAATTTCAATGGGAAATCCCACCGCGATTTCACTTGCAAAAGATTTGAATTTATCCAGCTGAAGACATCAAGCAATTGCGTGCTTGGCATAGTTACAGGAAACTTCAAATAAATCCACACTATCGACAATTTGTCTGGCAACACTCGAGTTAATAACAAAATAGCGGCAACTTGTTGGCGAAGTCGAGAACAAGTTGTTTCAGTGTGTGGTCGAGTTTTCAGCTAGTTTGGATGAAACGTGCAAAGTTCATTATATTTTATGTTCAATATTGAGGGCTTCAGTTGAATTATTTGCTTTTCGTCCTCTTTACCTCGGTTTTATGGTTGTATTTCTGCTCCTACTGGCCAGTTTCTCTTACTTCCTCTCCCCAAATTAATCGGACGATTTACTAGCAAAATTCAATTTGCTTCTTGATCTGTTCTCATTGAAGGTCAGTTTTTAGATTTGAGAAATAGCCGTGTTTCTTTCAGCCAAATGGTCAGTTTCTCTAAAGGAAGATTTTGCCATTTTTGCTATGTCCAATGCCTAATTATTCCAAAGTTTGACTTGCAAACGATCAGTTTACTTTAAACGTGTTTTCAATTGGGATTTATTTTTTGGATTTAAGAAATAGTATAGTTTCTTTCAACTTAATGGCAAGACGATTTCGATATTGAGGTGGGTTTCTTGGAACTAAAGCGTCAGTTTTCTTTTAAAAAACTAATTGATGTGGCCGCAATTCCCTATCTCAAATTAGCACAAAGTAAAATTGCAATTTACTTCTTAATTTATTTCAGTTGAGACTCAGTTTTTACGTTTTAGATTTAGTGGTGTTTCTCGCCACTAACTGGTCGGGCACACTAAGGAAAAAAAATTAATTCTCTCCATTTTTGTCGCAAATTTACTCGAAATTTTATTTTGAAAACAAACAGTTTTCTTTTTAGTTGCTTGCATCTGGCGCTCAATTTGCTTAACTAATTGGCAAGTTTCTCTAAAGGAAGATTCTGATATCGGTGGTCCTTTCGCTGTATAAATTGCTGGACGTTTCACTTGCAAAAAGCTTGCGCATCTCAGCAACAGTTTCCAGATTCGCAAAATAGCTGTCATCTAAATGGGCAGTGTTCTTAAAAAAAAACTTTCTTTTGATGAAGATTAGGACAACGCCGCTAGTCACAAACTAGTAAAATTCCAGTTTCTATCTTAATTTTGATCAGGTGCTGCTGAGTTTCCATATTTCGTGTTTCCTGCAACTAATTGTCCAGTTTCTCTAATAAACATTTCAATATGCTCGCATCCATATCAAGTTTTACTTGCAGAAATTAATTTATCTTGTAGGTCTTTATCAAGTGAAACTCAGCTTCAAGGAAAAATCACTATTTGTTTTATCCAAATGATCAATTTAATATTGCAGCTAATTTAAATGGCAAATCTCACCCAGATTTCACTGGCAGGTCAGTGTTTCTGTTGCATAGAATCGATATTGCTATTGAAAGGATCATAGTTTGTTCTGGATTAGAGGGCTTATTTGATCAGCAGTGGAAAAGGCCAAAGGAGGCCTTTAAAGGTCATCTCTTTGATAAAAAAGGCTTTCAATGCCGTAAATAGCCGTATATTTTTTTGTTCCATTTTGCGTTAATTTGATGAAATGCCAGTCGTTCTCGAGACACTATGTGGGCGAAATGATTGAGGTCAGCCCTTCGACTCTGTCTCTGGAATCGTGTCAATAATTTCGGTTTTTCGGGATATTAATATAAACGTGATGGTTTGGGCATTTATTGCCAGGATCGGCTGTTACTTAAAAAAATGATGAGGAACATTTATAGCGAACTAATTTAGCAAACAGTTGTAGAAAACTGCACTGTTTGAACTGGAAATTGGAGTGGAAATTCTCCGAATTTCCAAACTTACTGAAACTTTGTGAAACTAATCCCGAATAAGTGAGTCGCTTGCTACTCATGCAAGTGGGGCACTTTGAGGATAAGGTCTAATTGAAATATTTATTCTTCCAGTGGAGCGAACGCTTGGAGGCGACCAGGAACGGAAAGTCTGAGCTCTTCGCCTGGAATCATCCGGAAAATTCCGACTCCTGAGGTGGCCCACACTGCTCCAGTGACGGTAAGTGAATCGAACCTCAGCCGCTTAAAATTCACCAAAGTCGAAGACTTTTTATTCACATCATGTGGGGTATTTTAGTGCACAACATTTAAATCGTTGTTCATCGTTAATGATTTTTGGCACGTACTTCGCCTAAATACATAGGAAACTATTTCGATGCGTTCCGCTTTTACAATGCGATCAACATCAGTCGATTCGGGCGCGTTTCCATTGATTCATCGCAGGAAAAGTGAAAGGAGTAAAGTGGTTGTTTTTTTTTGGATAATTATGGTGATTTATTTTGTTGTGAGTAGTTTTCTAGCGAAGATACATCCAGGGGAAGCTTCTAATTTGGAGGAGCAGGTTTAGCCTTTCCATGCTCGATTCATTCAGCGAAACTTTCACTTATAGATTCAGTTCAACTCCGCTCAATCAGGCCACTGATTAATAAAAAAAGGCTCATCTCATAGCGCAATTGAGCGCTCTTTATGAAAGGGGAAGTCAGTAATTTCGAGAGCGCTCAATTAAAAAGGCCAAATATTCAGCTGATTGTTGGAATGTTGCTCCTATAAGGGAGGCAATTAAGTTTAATTACTTAGTTATTAAAGACTATGAACTTCAATTGCTTCATTCCCAACCATCATTATAATGTGTCCAATGCTTGCTAAGCTACAGAGTGTTTAACACGTCGAGAGCCGCTGAGTTTTGGAATTTTGGCTCTTATCTCCTTAGAGGTTAGGAATTTGCGATAAGACCTAAGCGCCCAAAGATTGCTTTTGGGGCAAGCTAACGAAAATGTCCTAACAATTGATTCAGTATTTTGCTCACTTACGAGATATGAAGTTTTTAAAGATTCAGACTCCTGAAAAAGGCGAAGCGCTACCAATAAATTCAAGCCGTTTAATCCCGAATGCAGCTCTGAAAACGCTCTTTAAAATAATGCTGATTGCAAATGCGATATTCCCAACCCGTTTAAGATACAGAGTGTTTAACGTTTCAAGCGCCTCTCAAATTTCAACCTTTTGCTCTAGTCGCTTTAGAGGTTGGAAACTGGAAATATAATTCAGGTACGAAATTATAGCTTTCGAAACGCGCTAACTAAAAGCTTCTTCTTTTTAGTTTACACCCTTTCTAATATACAGAGTGTTTAACGATGCGAGCGCCGCTATAAAATGTCAATTATACTCCTAACTCTTTATAGGTTAAAAGGTTTCGATAAAAATTATGCAGCAAAAGATAGCGTATAAGACACGCTAAAGAAAAGGTTCTAACCCTTGACTCAATATTTTCAAACCTTTAAAAGTTATCGTGTTTTGAACCTTCAGGATCCTCAAACGGTTTGTTCTAAAACATAACGCAGAAATCGCAGTTTTAAAAAGGGTCTTAGAGAATATTTGAAGTGCTTCTCAGGTATAAGCTGTTTAAGGATTCGCGCTCCAGAAAAATGCGATTTTTGCATCTATTTCTTTAGAGGTTAGAAACTAATGATAAAACCCAAGCGCTGGAAGATAGAACTCGGACGCTCTAACAAAAAGATCTGTAGTTTGATTCGATATTTTCAACGGTTTAGAAGATATGACGTTTTAAATATTCAGACGCCTGAAAGAGGGCGAAGCAAATTGGTCAATTAATACGACAGTTTTTCTAAAATTACGTTTTCATAGTCTCACAATTATCAATGGCAAATTACTCCGAAATTTTACTGGCGCGGATTCAATTTACCTCTTAATTGCTTTCAACTGAATCAGTTTTAGTAGTTGCGAAATAGCTTGAGGAATATTGGGAAGATTTACTTGAAATACTCAATTTACTTCTTGTTCTATTCCTAATCGTTTACATTGGAGAAATGAGTTTGTTTCTGTCGACTCAATGTCCAGTTTCTCTTAATAAAAATCGCGATTTTATCGTAATTTTTTTATATTCCAAGTTAGTCTGGAGTTCACTTGCAAAAATAGAGTTCTTTCAGCTGAGGCTCTGTTATCAGATTTGAGAAGCAGCTATGTTTATATCAGCTCAATGACCATTTTTCTTAAAGGAAATTTTAAATTTTGTCGTTTTTATAGCAAATTAGTTCTGAGTTTTCCTAAGAAAAATGTAGGTTTTTCAACTGAAACTCAGCTTTCAGATTTAAAAAATAGCTGTGTTCTTCTCAACTCAGTGGCCAATTTCTCCATAAGAAATTGTTTATTTTTTCACTGGATTTTATGCCAATTTAGTCTGGAGTTTCACTTGCAAAATTGCATTTTTTTAGTTCAGTTTTCAGATCTGAAAATTAACTGTGTTTTTCTCAACTCAATCGCCATTTCCTTTACAGACATTTTTTTGATTTTGTCGCATTTTTTTATGGAAAATGAGTGCGGAGTTTCTCTACAGAAAGTGCATGTTTTCCAACTGACACTCAGTTTTCATATTTGAGAAATATCTGTGTTTTTCTCAACTGAATGGCCATTTTCTCCATAGGAAATTGTCGATTGTTACACTGTATTTTATGCCAATTTAATCTGGAGTTCCACTTGCAAAATTGCAATTTTTCAGGTCAGTTTTTTGATTTGAGAATTAACCGTGTTTTTCTCAACTCATTAGCCATTTCTTAACAGTACATTTTTTCGATTTTGTCGCAATTTTTGTGGAAAATTAGTGCAGAGATAGTCCATGAAAGTGCATGTTTTCAAACTGAGACTCAGTTTTCAGATTTAAAAAATAGCTGCGTTTTTCTCAACTCAGTGGACCATTTCTCCATAGGGAATTGTCGACTTTCTGACTTTCTTTTATGCCAATGTAGTCTGGAGTTATACTTGCAAAATTGCATTTTTTCAGTTCACTTTTCAGATTTGAGAATTAACTGTGTTTTTCTGAACTCAATAGACATTTTTTACAGATAATTTTTCGATTTTGTCTCAATTTTTTATGGAAAATTAGTGCAGAGTATCTCTACGAAAAGTTCATGTTTTCCAACTGAGACTCATTTTTTAGATTTAAGAAATAGCTGTCTTTTTCTCAACTCATTGGACAATTTCTCCATAGGGAATTGTCGACTTTCTGACTTTCTTCTAAGCCAATGTAGTCTGGAGTTTCACTTGCAAAATTGCATTTTTTCAGTTCACTTTTCACATTTGATAATTAACTGTGTTTTTCTTAACTCAATAGCCATTTTTTACAGATAATTTTTTGATTTTGTCACAATTTTTGATGAAACTTTAGTGCAGAGTTTCTCTACGAAAAGTGCATGTTTTCCAACTGAGACCCAGTTTTCAGATTTAAGAAATAGCTGTCTTGTCCTCAACTCAGTGACCAATTTCTCCATAGGAAATTGTTTATTTTCTCACTGTATTTTATGTCAATTTAGTCTGGAGTTTCACTTGAAAAATTGCATTTTTTCAGTTTGGATTTGATATTTAACTGTGTTCTTTTCAACTCAACAGCTATTTTTCTTACAGGAATTTTTTCGATTTTGTCGCAATTTTATGACAATTTAGTGCACAGTTTCTCTACGAAATATACATGTTTTCCAACTGAGACTCAGATTTCAGATTTAAAAAATAGCTGTGTTTTCCTCAGCTTTTGAAGCTATTTCTTGTGCCAAAGTAGTCCCCAATTTCACTTGCAACGATTCAATTTTCTTGGTAAAAGCTTTCAAATCAAACTCCGCTTTAACAGTTTTTAGTTTCTCTCAACTAGTTGGCCAAGTTTCTCTACAAGATACCACGGCAATTCGCGAAGCTTTCCAGTTTCATTTCGACTGGTACTCGATGTGAAAAGGCCTAATCACTAACCTCAAGCGCACTGAATGGGAAAAATTCAACTAATTGTGGAAAAGGGCGCAAATGACCCCATCAAGCCGCAAAGCCATCGAATTTCCCATAAAGGAAACATAAACACGTCCCTACGGGATTTAGCATGTGGATTTATGAGGGAACCGCAGACGTAAACATTCGTCCCCATCCCATTTCTGGAAGACACCCACTAGTGGCTTGTTTCCGGCCCCAAAACAGCCACTGGATACTGAACCAACACTGGGCCGCGCCTCAAACAACATTATTCTTTCCCTTCTAGCGGCTTGATGTCTTGGTAAATTTAATTTTCATTTTCCGACCGCCAATCAAACATCCAAGCCCCTGGATGTGCTTAAGTTGCCCTCAAATGTTTCACACTTGCCGGTAATTAGGATCTCAAACGAGAGAATAAATGGGGGAAGCAACAGGGAGGGCTTTCTAATTTCTTCCCGAAGTTTTGGCTGATTAAGTCGAAATATTCCACACAGTTTTAGAGTTGGATTTAGGAAAATAATTTCGTTCTTGCAGCCTCTTCACGAGGGACGTCGCGGACGGTTTCCTTTGGATCCTGCCAGGAAAACCAGGGCGATCTCAACTCCTCATCTAGCCGAACTGCAACGAGACTCCAGGTAATTTTCCTCAAGCTAATGTTCCAGACTTTTGCACGTATCTGAACTAAAGGCCCGGAGTTTGCACGTAAAACTGTAAAAAAAAACCATCAAGGGCCTTTCGCAAGTTGCCTGCGTGCTTTGATCTTTTAACTTCCGTTGGAGGCGTTTACATGAAAATGGCCGGAATTATACCAGAATAGACGGGGCAAAAAACGCCTCACGTCCATGCAGTTTCTGGGAGCTTTCGGTGGGTCTTTGATGGGTCTGACGAGGAAACAAGGGCGAGCAAATCGGATATTAACTGGTTCAATTTTTGGTTTTTCAGGAATTGGAACCAACGAGAAAGCGACCACAGTGACGATTCGCTAGAGCGTTCATTGTCGGAAAATGCTCCCTTAGATGCGAATTATCGCGGTAAGTCCGTGGCTTCAAAATAGACATGTACATACCTAAGGAATATAAATGAGCACAAAAGCCTCTTGTTCTGCCAGTTGATTCACCCAGTTTAAAAAATTGCCAAAATTCCAAAACTCCTTCTGGGGTTTGAATGAACTGAGACTTTCCCACTTTACAATAAGATATGCTAACTTTCTTTGCTAGGAGTTTCTGGTTTGTAGCTACTTTAGTATGAAAAATGCGAATTTTTCAATAGAACAGTGTACCATTCTACCAGGAAATCTGTGATCTTCAAATTTAAAAAATTGCTAAAACTCCCTGTTTAGTTGAAACTTTCCGGACTTGTGCCAGTATGTGTGTTCTGTTTTGCGTGAAACTTGCAGTTCCTCGGTATATTTGATAAGGAAGTGGTGAATTTTTCAATAAAGCAATATACTATTTGACTAAAGAATGTTTGAGTCAAATTCGAAAGTTTGCCAAAACTCTCTTTTGAAGTAAAATAAATTACATATTTTCCCATTTATGGGCGTATATATGCTCTATGGTCATGAAAAATTGCAAGTTCTTCGAAATTTCTGCTTGGATTTTACGAATTTTTAAATAAAGTTGTTACTATTTCATTAAGGAATGTTTGCTTGAAATTTGAAAATTTGAAAAAACTTCCTTTTAAGCTGAAATAAATTGAAACTTACCTCACATATGGCAACGCGTTTGCTCTGTCTTAGCTGAAAATGAAAACTTCGGGGTAGATTTTAGGTGAAGCGTACGAATTTTAAAGAAAGCCCTTGTACTACTATTCTCTTAAGGCAGGTTTGTTTCAAATTCGAAAATTTGCAAAAACTCCCTTTTTAGCGGAAATAAATTAAAACTTACCTCACTTATCGCAACGCGGTTGCTCTGTCTTAGCTGAAAATTATAACTTTTGGGTTGATTTTAGGTGAAGCGTACGAATTTTTAAATAAAGCCCTTGTACTATTCAATTAAGGCAGTGGTTTCCAACCTGTTCCCAAAATATTATTTTCGAATACAAACCAAAGAAGTCGAATAGGTTTAGCACATTTTATTACATTTAAAAGTAATATTTCTTATCATAAATAATTATTTTTTTATGTACATTTTTACATAAGAATGTATATTATTTTAAATAGATTATATTAAATAAAATACAACATCAGCATTTCAGTTCATCAGTTCAGTATTTATGAAATTAGATTGTTAGAAAAATTAAAGGGGCGCAATTTTTTTTAAGGGGAGCACGGAAAGGTTGGAAACCACTGTATTATGGTATGTTTGCTTCAAATTTGAAAATTGGCAAAAACTCTTCTTTTACTTCGAATAAATAGAAACTTTGCTCCGTTTCTGCCACGTATGTGTGATGTCTTGGGTGAATATTTCAAGTTTATTCCCGTTGGAGTGTGAATGTTGCATTTCTTTAATAGAGCCGATAGTACCATTTTCTAAGGAAATTATTTTCCAAATTTCAAAATGTGCCAAAACTCCGTTCTCACTCGAAATCCAGTGAAGCTTTCACTACACACGGAATCATTATTACACATTCTTTAGCAAAAACTTGAAGTTCCGATCTGTTTTAGGGCAAATAATACGATTTTTTTAAATTTGCTAACAGCAGCATAGCCCCGAAATATCGCTTTTCCCACTGGAATCAAATGACGCTTTGTCGGGCTTTCAGAGGGCATATTTCACTGCTCCCAACTGGGAAACGTTCAGCACTGATTTAAATCGCTTTAGGCTATTCCAGGCTCAGTTTCATCTGTTAAACGCACATAAAATCAATGAAACTTACAATGCAGGAAAATTGAGGGCAAAAGTGTAAGTTTTTCAATATTAAACAGCTGTTTATTATGAGCGAATCCGCTCCCTCGCACGTAAGAGACACCTTGAAGCGCGCACTTAATTTTGACCGATATTAGGTTTCAAATTAAATTTGGAAAGTTCTACGCCCATGATTCAGGTAAAGGGAATTTTAGTATCACTTCTATGCCCTTCCATTATTCACGTGCTTCGGTATGTCGACCTTGGCTTCACCAAGCTTCAACATTAAAGATACATTTTGTTGATAGCCACGGAAATTTCGTGTTAGTTTTACGTGTTCTGATCGTCCAAAACAGTGGGAATCGGCATCTACTGGTTGATGTGCAATTATGTTTACCCTGAGAAAAAAACCGCGAAAGGATCAGGGGCGGAACACCTCAAAGTCGTGCGGTTGCTTGCTTCTGGAGATCGACAACACTCAAAACGAGCTGCTTTGTAAGTATTTTGCGGGACATTTTGGTGGCAATTTCGCAAAAGCCACCATCCAGGAGTTTCTGTCTAAAAATGGCCCAGATTTAATGCCAAAGTACAACAGCAAACACTTCTTAATTAGCTCGCAGCCCTGATTAAGGGAGAAGAATGGAATAAATGGAACAAGAGGCTTCCACTCACTGTCCTTGTTTCAGTCAGTGCTCGCCCCCACAAAAGCTGCTTCAACTAAAGTGCCTTTTTCTGCCTGAAACGGCTTTTATTGTTGTTTTTTTTCCGCCGGAATAAGAGAGCAATCAATTCCGTATCAGCAAATCTTCCGGAACTCATCAACTCGTAAACCTATTGCCAGTAATTAGATTCGTGTTTTTTTCGATGGCTTCCAGCTCCCACGAATGAGAGTGTTTTGCAAAAGTTTCGCAAAACCATTTCGCTGCACTTTTCGCAGCGCAAAGCCTCAAAGGAAGTGTGCGCCTCAGACGATACGGCCTCAGAAACGGTTCCTTCTGAGGAGGAATCGTCGCTTCAGCATACCGGATCGGCCACATCGTCAGGCGAACCACCATTCAATGCTGAATCCGAAGGGAATCGCAACCAGAAACATCGGTAAGTAAAAGCATTTCTTGATGGAGCTTGATGGGTATTTTGATAAAAATCGCCTGTTTTTCTCCAGCCGGTTTCAGCACAATGAGTGTATTACTTTAGCTGAATTACATTTTTGCAACACAAAATGTCCAATTTGCGCATATTGCGTGTTTAATTTCCTGCGAATCGCATTTTGAATATCGAATTTAGTCGGAAAGAAAAGAAGGCTGGTTTTTTAATTCACCTGGGGGAAGGTTTTTGTCATACTTTAGCAGCATTTTAACGAAAAAAAACGGCCGTCAGGGAGGCGAAATTCGTATAAACTTCGAGAATTGATTGAAAAAGCTCACTAAAAACGCCCACCAAACAGTTGCTTAAATGAGACCATGTTTCCCTCGTTTTTTAATCTCTTTTTTCTATGTTTTTCCTGTTTTTCTCTCAGTTTCTTTCGATTCAGAATTGAAAATTTAGCGTTTTGAAAGTTGATTTTTTCCTTTGCTCAAACGAGATAAAAAATAAAATAAATTCAAAAATTAATAAATTCTTGCACATTTTCTGCACTTAAATTCAGTTGAAGCTGGCAAAAGGCAATTTTCGTCAATTTCTATACATTTTTATTTATATCTCGGAAACAGTTGAAACTATCTAAATAATGATAAGAACTTTTTTGATTTAGCTTCTCAATAGACCTCTAGGGTCGTATACCATCAAATCCTAACCTGTAAACAGTTTCTTTGCATTCTTAGGCAGAATTGGTAACATTTTGACTCAAAACTAGCATTATCTCAGAACCAGGGAAAATATCTGGTCAGGCATCAAAACCATTTCGATAGACCGTTTCAAAAGCCGATTTTTTTCCTTAAGGTTTATAACAACATTCCCAACCTCAAAAGAGATAGAGACAACATTTCGCGAATTTTGCATATTTTCAATCATATCCCGGAAACGGTTGAAAATATTTAAACGATCATTAGAACATTTTCAAGAGAGCGCCTCAGTAGCTCTTTACTGCCTGTTTAATAAACAAGCGAATTCTAACCTGTAAAGAGATAGCAGTAGAAACATAGGCATTTTGGAGCTACCGAAGTTCAAAACGCCCGATATCTCAGAAACAGTGAAAATATCTATTCACTCATCAGAAACATTTTGATAGATCGTTTTAAAGGCTATCTGTGTTCCTTCGGGGTTAAAATAAAATTACCAACCTCAAAAGAGGAAAATGCAAAATTATTTGAACTTTTGCAGATTTTCAATTATATCCCAGAAACGGTTAAAAACATCCAAACGACCATTAGAATCTTTTCAATAGAACGTCGCAATAGTTCTCTAGTACCTGTTAAGTATACCAGCCAATCCTGGCCGGTAAAGAAATAGAAGCAAAATTGGCAAAATTTGAAATCAACCGAAGTACAAAACACTCGATAGCTAAAAAACAGTTAAAACTTCCTGTTGAGGCATAAGAAACATTTCGATAGATCGTTTCAAAAACTATCTGTTTCCTTAAGGTTTATAACAAAATTCCTAACCTCAAAAGAGGTAGAAGCAAGATTTCGTGAATTCTTTCAAAATATTGTCAAAACCCGAATTAATCAAACACAGTTCCATATCTGAATGTCTCAAAGGCAAAGTTAAAATTCGTCCGATTCCCTCGTCCACTTAGTTTTGATAAATCTTTTTCTGTTTTCCGGCTAATTAATTGTGCGTAAATACTTTCACTTCCGTTCTATAGCTGCTGGTAAAGGCAACTTTCAAAGAGTTAGCGCTGCCAGAGTTTTACAAGCGGCAAAGTTGGGCAATTTTGCTAATATGGCAGCGTTAGTTTGCAACCTCAGCTCTCAGCTCTAAGATTAATTTCCACGTGAACCCACCGAAAACTTTTTAAACAAGGGCAACACTCTAATAAGCCCCGTTATGGAAACAATAGGTTCGGTTGAGCGAAGAACGGCTCAAATTGCTGATTTAGTCGGTTTACTGGTTATTTAGTTGATGGGGTTTTTTTGGGTTTGTTTGCAGATTTGGGGCTCTGGTTTGGCGATCGCACAAAGAGCGAAAAAAGGTGAACAAAGCGGCGCGCAACGCAAAATGCAACAGCGGAGACAGCGGCATTCAAATCGAGGTAAGAAACTCAGTTCTTTGCCTCCTCCACTGTACAATGACCTTTCTCCTCACTTACCTCTCAAGTGCTCTTTGTTCTCAACTGTTCCAAAGGCCCTGCATTATTTAAAAGGAAAAGAGCACTTCAGAAGTTCATGCACTAATTTTGCTAATCCTAACAATTCTACACGGGAAACCATGTTTCGATTTTGAGTTGCCAGTTCGATTTTCTGTTCAAACTTCTGTGCACCGAGTGGGTGAAATGCGATGTAATTTGACCCATTCGGTGCATGTTAAGCGAACACTAATTTTTGTTTATAATTTTCAATAGACGGCCGCTAGACTAGCTTGGTAAGATATGTTTTTTAAATAATATTTTCCATTTCATTCAATTCATTTTGCTTGCGAATTTCTCCTGCATTGCATTTGTGCCCGCTGTTTTTGGCTCTAGACAATGGAGATTGATTTTTCAAGCCAGTTTTTTTTAGCAGTTTGGACCCGGAAAACTAATGAAAACTGAGTTGAAGCATGAATCTCGCAGGCTTAGAGTTGAGTTAAGTTAGGCGGACATTTTCATTTTTTGACTCTTATTTGAAAGACGTGGGTTTTGCAGCTTTGCTGTTTTCTCTCAAGGGTCAAGAGGCTTTCAAGGCTCATCCGCCAGAATATTGAAGGTTTCGATCAGGTTTGCCCAAAGTTTGGTCAAATTGTTAGAGTCAAAAAAACTAAAATTATATTCAACCTTCATTTTTCTTTAACTGTAGTGGACAGGGGCTTGCGATTTTCACCGGTGTTTAGAGCGATATTTGCTCTATGATTTCTAGGTTCACTTGCGATACTGACTATCAGTGATTATTTGGAAATTTACAAAATTTAGTGCAGACGGTGAATACATTTCCGCCCCATTTTCAAGACTATTTTTCAAAAAGTCACTTCTCTGAGACGAGATCAGCTAGCAACTTGCTTTTTTACCGTTATGTAAAGGACACGTTTCTTTGTAACTGCGAAAAGGTTTACTGCGCTTGGAGCTTTGACTCAAATTTTACCAGTTTTTGAAGTTTGATCAAACCATATCTTTTTCCCTCAATCCAATTTTCAAAAATGCATTTGCCTTACACGAAATTTGATAACAGTCTGCTTTTCTTGTCATTAGATATAACGGGCTTTTCTCTATCACCTGAAGCACTTTAGTGGCTATTTGGCAGTTGAATAGCTTTTTACGAATTTTATAAATTTGGTTGACCCCTATTTTTCAAAAATCCATTTATTAATATCCAAAAATACAGTATTCTTCAGTCTTATGCTAATCAGTCTTAGAGGTTTAATTTCTATAGCTACTTTGACTGATTTTTTATGAATTTTCAAAGTTTGGTTGCCAACAACGTATTTTTCTGCCGATCCATTTTTTCCAAAAATTCATTTATCTCGAAAGAAATTTGATAGCAAGTTGCTTTTTTTTTCATTTGATAGGGCGGATCTTTCTCTATGACTTCCAGAAGTTTAGTAGCGATCAAGTTTTTTAATAATTTTTTATAAATTTTTAAATTTCAGTTGCTTCCGACGTCAACGCTCTTCAAACGTTGTTTTTCAAAACTTAATTTTTCTCGTACTTTATTTGCTATCACCTTCTAATTTTTGTTGTCATAAGGTGCAAGCTTTCCTCTATAACAGTTAAAAGTTTAATTTCTATAGCAGCTTTCACTAAATTTTTCACGAGTTTTCAAAGTTTGGTTGCCAACTATGTCTTCTTCTGTCAATCCATTTTGCAGACTATGTTTCAGAAATTTATTGATCTCAAACCAAATTTGTTAGGAATTTGCTTCTTGACTTTTATCTATATCGCGGTTTAAGGTTAATAGCGATGCGGCTTTTCACTTTTTTTTGTCAATGTTGCCCACGACGTCGATTTTCGTCATTATATTTTTAAGACCAGTTTTGAAAATTTAATTTATCTCCAACAGAAATATCCACCACAATACACGTTCTATGATTATTTAAATCACGCTTTTCTCTGAACATTTTACAATTTTGTAAGCAATATGAGCTTTGACTAATTGCTTTCGAATTTTCGAGTTTAGTTGCCAACAACGTGCTTTCCTACCAATAATTTTTCCAAAAATAATTTATCTGAGAGATTTATCTATTACAGAGGGTGGACTTTCCTAAGGGAAGCTCAATATCAATCTCGGTTTTGCGTATTTTTTTTTTAATTTTCAAAACTTGATTTCCCATAACGTCGTTTTCCGGCAATACAATTTGAAGACTGTTTTGCAAAAATGTATTTGTCTCAAACGAAATTTGCTGCTACTTTGGTTTATTGCGATTATATAGACCAAGTTTTTCTCTACAACTACTGGTAGTTTAATTGTTTTGGGAGCACTAATTACATTTTTATTAGTTTTTTAACATTTTGATTAATTTTCCTGACTGCTTGTAATTGTTATTATATTTTTTCTTTCCTCGGTATCAGTCAAAATGTGAAATAAAAATGCCCATATCGTTTATTTCATATTTGTACGTTTCGGGGAGACAACAGCGCCATCATCAGACTTAAAATTCAAAACAAACTACAGACACCAATTTACAATTAAAATATGTTGTACATAAACTATAATTTACATAGCGTTAAAACATTCATCAGTTCTAACGAAAAAAATTCTTTGGGAGAGCGAAACATTTGAAAAACTCACCCCATAATTGGGAAACATTAGATTCTTTTTTGAAGACAGCCAGACCTAAAAAGAATCTCGTATTTCCCAATTATGAGGTAAGTTTTTCAAATATTTTGCTCTCCCGAAGGATTTTTTTTCCTTAGAACTAATGGATGTTTTAACGCTATGTAAATTATAGTTTTTGTACAACATATTTTAATTGTAAATTGGTGTTTGTAGTTTGTTTTGAATTTTAAATCTGATGATGCCGCTGTTGTCTCGCCGAAACGTAAAAATATGAAATAAACCATATGAACATTTTTATTTCACATTGTTGACCATCCTTCAAAAAATATTTTCTCTCATTCGTGACTTGCTCACACTTTGTTTATTTTGCTGTTAAGCATATAGCATATAAGAAGACTCTGTAAGACTTAGAAGTTTCGTTCTGGTAGTGCCTTTTAGTACTACTTTAGGAATTTTGAAACTTTTGTCGCCAACTACGCATTTGCCGATGAGACGGCAACGTCTGTCCCTTTTCCAGGCTATTTTTCAAAATTTCATATCTCTAAGCCGCGGTTTGTTCTTGTCCTGCTCTTTCTTTTGTCCTATAAAGCAAATCTTGCTCCATAATTTCTAGAAGTATTTTTGCGATAAAGATTTCGAGTAATTTATAAAGAATTTTCGCAATTAGGTTTCCAACGTCATGATTTTCCGCCAACCCATTTTGCACCCCACGATTCAAAAATGAATTTCTCTAACATTAGGTTCAGCAGCAAGTATCTCGTTCCGCAGTTATATAGAAACAGTTTCACGTTACAACTTGTAGAAGGTTAATTGCAAGCGAAGATTTCAGTAATTGTTGATGATTTTTTCAAGTTTGGTTACCAATGGCCTCATTTTCCTCGAATATGCAGCCGATTTTTCAAAAAATTATTTCTTTTCAACTGGATCTGCCAGAAACTAGCTTTTTTATCATTTAGCTAGATACATTTTTGCGCTAGAAACTGTGCGATCGAAGCTTTCAGCAATTTTTTCGGAATTTTAAAACTTTTTATATGATTTTTGTCCTAATCTATTTGGACAAGTTTTCAAAAATGTATTGCTCTCAGCAGAGGCTTGCCCGCATCTTCCCCATTTCGCCGTAATGAAGAGCAAATGCTGCTTTATTACTCGGAGCTGTTTCATTACGCTCAGGGCTTTGAGTAATTTATGACAAATTTTCAAAAATTTAGTTAACCAACGACATCATTTTCCGCCAATCGATTTAGCAGACATGTTTCAAAAATTAATTTCTCTGAAACGAGAACCCATAAAAACCAGCAGTTTTCGCCATTATATATGACAGGTTTTCCTCCATCACCCTGGTAAGAGGTTTAGATACGATTGACAGTTTGGGTATTTGTTGAGGATTTTTAAAGTCTTTCTCTCAAAATTGCCGTTTTCCACATTTAGACGCATTGAGCCCATGTAAACGTTCTTTTAGTATTTTGCAGAAAAAACACTGGTTGAATGGCCAACTGGAACAAAAGAGATAAAAACAGCGAATACAAAACCGCATATTTGCGGGCGCTGAAAATGCCCATCAGAAGCTTTCAAAATTTAAATACCGAACATACGGTTTCTATTCTAGGGCCTCACTGGGAGTTTCGCTATTCGGCATGGAAATTTGGACTGGGCTGAATTTAAGCGAAAAAAAAAACAGGACATTTTTTTGGGAAAAACAAATTCAAAATGAAATTCTCCGCTGATAATAAAGTCGGGATTTGTTGCCTTTTGAACAATGCCACCCACTAACTAAGCTAATTTACTGCCACTACTTCCTTGTTGCCCAGTGATAATTGTAAAATATTAGCGGGGAAACTTTAAAGTTTCATTCCGGATTTCGAAACTTTGTTCCATTCTATTCCGGAGGTCTCATTAATCTCAATCTTGCCTCCATTGCTAAACGAGGTTGGCTAATTATGCTGTTTACGGACAGGGTGATGGGAACCGAGGGGGTTTTTTCGAATTCAGAAATTTGTTAGTTTCTTCTGGAGCGCGATTGATTTTGTGATTGATTAGCTTTGCAAATTAGGGGCTTTTGAAAAAATCAGAAAACCGGTGTATAAAAAAAATGTGTAGCTATGAAACAGAAAACGATGGAGCAATTCCAAGCACGCCACTGGACCAATTCACTTTTTCGTTAAACTGAATAGTAATAGAGCTACCGGATTTTTTTTATCTTGGACGACAAAGTTTCCTTGGCTCCGCACTAGGGATTTTACTCAAAATTTACATTTTATTTGTTTTCGCTCCGTCAAAGGTTCCTATCAAAAAAAATTATTTTCTATAAAATATTTGGCATGTTCAAAGCTACTTATTGGGTTTTTTTCGTGTTTTCCCGACTTGCGATTTTTGCAAAAGTCAGAAAAACTCTCTAGTTTTCAGTCTTTCTCCTCTATTTCAACCAAGGCTTTTTTCAACTAAAATTGAACACTGTTTGTTATACAACTTGTCCATTGACCACTTCATCTGAAAGGAACTTTTGGAAAACGGTCTCGAGTTTTTGCCCAGCGATTTTCTCCCCACTAGGGATTTTACTCGAAATATACATTTTTCGTCCAAACGAAGCACGCCAGCAAAAAAAAGATATTCTTTATAAAATGTCCCGGGTCGCCCAAAGTACTCAGTAATATTTTTGCTTAACTCTTCGATTAGCAGTTTTTCAAAAAATCAGAAAGCTAGCTTTCATTTTTTTTAGATTAGAAGATTTGGAACTTGCTTTCCATTATTCTATTTCAACTAAGAATTTTTTTTTCAAAGCAATTGACCTCTGTTTGTCACTGGCCCATTGGTAAAAGAAACTTTTGAAAAATCCACTTTTGATTTTTTGCCCGGAAATTTTTTGGAGTCCGCACTAGGGATTTTACTCGAAATTCACATTTTAAGTTTTTTCGCCTGAACGAAGCTTGCTAGCAAAAGAGTTATTCTTTATAAAATGTCCGGTGTGTCCCAAGGTACTCAGTGACATTTTTTCGCTGAACTTTTCAATTGGCGGTTTTCCAAAAAATCAGAAAAACTAGCTTTGATTTTTTTAGATTAGAAGATTTAGAACTTGCTTTCCATTAATTTATTTCAACTAATTTTTTTTTTTAAACAATTGAACTCTGTTTGTCATGCAACTGATCTATTGGCCACTCCGTGTAAAAAACACTTTTGAAAAATCAACTTTTGATTTTTGGACCAAAATTTTTCGGGGCCCGCAATAGGGATTTTACTCGAAATTCACATTTTAAGTTTTTTCTCCTGAACGAAGCTTGCCAGCAAAAAAAGTTATTCTTTATAAAATGTCCGGTGTGTCCCAAGGTACTCAGTGACATTTTTTCGCTTAACTCTTCGATTAGCGGTTTTCCAAAAAAATCCGAAAAACTAGCTTTGATTTTTTTTAGATTAGAAGATTTGTAACTTGCTTTCCATTATTCTATTTCAACAAAAAATGTTTTTCAAAACAATTGAACTCTTCTTGTCATGCAACTAGTCCATTGGTCACTCCGTGTAAAAGGAACTTTTGAAAAATCCACTTTTGATTTTTAGCCCGGAAGTTTTCTGGCAAATTTTCGCAATAGGGATGTTACTCGAACTATACATTTTAAGTTTTATCGCCTGAACGAAGCTTTGTATCAAAAAACATTGTCGTTCATAAAACGTCCGGCACGTCTCAGGGTATCGCGCGCCTAATTTTCCAAATATGCGGATTAATGCTTTTAGAAAAAAATGCCAAAAACGAATTTTCGGAAAATATTCAAGAAACTAAAAAAAGTAGATCAATCGCGACCAAGCCACTGGGTCCAGTGAGTCAGCATTTATACAAAACCTGTTATTCACTTTTCCTCTGAAGTTAATCTAATCATAGGACAAGTACGGATGATTATTCATTTTAAATCCAGATTTTGAACCTTTTTCTAAATTTAAATCTCCTTTCGCGCAACCCAAATTGGCGGAATTTCGAAACCCAGCCCTCCTCAGGTATGCCGAAGGCGCTTTCAGCCAATAGAATTATCAGCCAATAGAACTCCAACCAAAGCCCTTCTAGAAACTAGTTTTTTTTTTGCAATTTCATATGGATGAATCATCCTGTAGATGGATATTCAAATAAAGTGGATTAAACAAGCGCCACATTGCCCATCTGCTCACTTTCCCATTCCCATTATCGATTTTTAATGCATTTAGTTTTACTGCCTATAATTAGCCCTCGTTTGTATTTACTCATCAGAGCAGCGTCGGACAGGTTTAAAAACTATGCAATTATTACAGACCGCTTAATCCCATTAAATCGCCCACACTCGAAAATGAATTATGGTCGAGCTTTCGCTTTCGGGCGGATCTGACTGAGGCTTTTGACCCAGTAAAGCACGTGCAACTCATGCGCCTGTTTGCATCAGTAGAATTCAGCGGAGCTGAAACTGGGCGGAAAAATTGAAGAAAAATTTATACTTTCAGATGCCTGGCGCTTGTGGGGGTGAAAGCAGCGAATCGCACGACACTGATGGGCCCTCCTACGAAAGCCCCCCTATTCTTCGACGTAGGGCCGACCGGCTCCCCACTAGGCCCCATTCCGATTTTTTCGGACAGACTTCCATTGGTAAATGCAAGGTGAGTGACAAGATAAATGGTTGAAACCACCAGCTTGGCCCAAGAAAAATTGTTATATTTTTTGCCACTATCTTGACTGAAAAACCCAAAGGCAAAAAACAGGTATCCTCTCAGGATCAACTATTCTAGGCCTGGGTGACACTGTGTTGTGTTTTTGCGTTGATGCCGCTCTGTGGGTGCGTTATAACACCCTCAATAACACTGACCACCTTTCTCCTTACACATTTATCGTATTATGAGTTTGCTGCATCATAAATTGCGTTGACGCGTTGTATCGCGTTGTTGCGCTAGTGACTTCTCTACCATCTCCGGTTTCGGGATTTCCTTTCCATCCTTAATGAATCACCCTGTACTCTGTAGAATACGATAGAACTGAAGGCGCACCCCTTTGAGGTCTCGGATTTTCAATCACTTGAAATACCGGAAGGAAGGACGCCCTATTTCGGCCATGGCAAGGTAAGCGCAAAAACATGTTTCCCCATACATATCCGGCCCAGGGAAGCCCTGATCAGTGATAACAGGTCATGAGCGTAGATTGTCAATCATTGTAAAACAGCCCCATCCAGACTTGAAATATCTTCGAATCCGTAATAAGGAACGGTCGATGTCGACAAAGGATAACTAGACAACCGACTGGCATATCCAGGATTCATGGAAGAGGGCGTTGAAGGAGTTGAATGGAGTTGTTCCAAAACCGGAGCCATTGTTTGCTTAATGAAGCCCACATATCGCGCTCTAATTTAATCAAAGACATTCATAGGGAAATTTCGGCTGAATATCGTCGATGTGGGCGTCGGCGTCCTTTGAAGGGGCCTCATAATGGACTTATCGGGGAATTATTTAGTTATTATTAGTTCTCAGAAAGTTGCAGATTCGGGCTAAATTTGGGGGCGTTCTGAGGATTTTTTTAAAACCGTTTGTAAATGCGTTTTGCCCTATTATATAGAGCAAACTTTGCTCTATAACCAGCCACGGTTTCATTGCGATCAGGAGGATTTGAGGAGTTTTCAAAAGTGGGCTGCCCCCGACTTTTATAAAGACTCTGTTTATAAAAGTTGCCGTTCGGCTCCTGGACCAGCGTGAGGGTCTGGCTTTTTTCTGGATATCGGGCAAATGAGGCTCTTGATCTTGGGATTTTCTCAAGGTGAAGGTATTGAAGGGATTTTGTTAATTGTGTTTAAAATTACGCCATGTTGAATTTAGAGCAGATATTGCTTCATAACCAGAGCCGGATTAACCTGTGGTAGGGCTCGGAGCTATGATCCCGGCAGAGGCTTTTTCCGCAATCACCGTCTTGTCGCGACATTTTGAAAAGCCTTTACTGGCGTCCCGGCGTCGCTAGTGCAATTGAACTTCCCATTTTTTATTTGATTTTATACTAGCGCTGGCCCAAGCTCAATTTTTTCCTAAGAAATGAGCAAAAAAGTGGCCAAAAGTTACACTTACACATCTTACACCTAAATGTCTGCTATTAAAATTTCGCTTTTTGTGTGAAAACTTTCAGTACTTTCTAGCTCTTCTTGCTTTAACTAAATCGGAAACGGAAAACGGTTTTTTTTAAGCTCAAATGGTTCTTGAGATATGCGAAAAACGACAGCGTTATTCGTATGCGCATTTTAAGAAACAACCGCGCAAAAGTAGAAGTTTTCGTGATAATTTGCGATTTTCTGCAAAAATGACTAACATTTCCTAAGCGACGCTTCACATAGTAAAGGCGTCATTTAGTGATCTCTTTGGTGGTGTGGAAATGAGCATTTCATCTGAGTCTGTTAAAAATAAGCAAAAAAACTGGGAAAAGCATGGGATTTTCACCCAATCTTGCACCTAAATATGTGATATTCTAATTTGGATTTTTGTACTCACAAATAAACTAAGCTTCCTGACGACTAAAGAAGAATTGTACATTTTCAAACATTTTTCCGTCTCTTAAGCTTCTCTTTGAATATTTCGTGCATGTAGCCAAAGGGAACGTAGCACTGAAGATAATTAGAAAAAAATCGTGTAGGTTTAACTATGATTGAGATACGAAGAAGATACAAATTTGTATGAAGCGATTAGAAAATGAAAAACCTACCAAGTTTGAATGTTTTGTTGAAAGCAACTCAGCGGACCGAATAATTCAGTATTGCAGCCTATGAAAAATCAAAATTTCAGAAGATTTGGACTCAGTTTCAGCTTGTTAAGTCACAAACAAACTAAGCTTCCTGAAGACTTTAAAGAAAACTTGCACATTTTCAAACATTTTTCCGCGTCTGAAGCGCTTTGCTTTGAATATTTCGTGCGTGAAGCAAGGGAAGCGCAGCATAGAAGATAATTAGAAGAAAATCGCACAGGTTTAACTATGACTGAGATACGAAGAAGGTAAAAAAAATGTTTGAGGCAGCATTTGTTTTATTGCAGCCTATAAAAAAACAAAATTTCAGAAGATTTGGACTCAGTTTCAGCTTGTTGAGTCACAAACAAACTAAGCTTCCTGAAGACTTTAAAGAAAAATTGATAGATCCAGCGCTGTCCATAACTGGTGTGGATTTGGGTGTTCTCAAAGACTTAGGGAATTTAAAAAGACATAATGCCTTCTTCTCTTCTGGCCATTGAGCTCCTGTACCAGGAAGACGGCTGATTTTTTTTTTTTTGGTAGACAAAAGCACATGTGGGTCTATATCCGGGATTAGTTTAAATTTTTCCTAACCGCTAACCTGGATTTCTCAGTTTTTTTTAACGTACTTTGAGCTTTCTTTTGCCGCTGTGCAGACTTGGTTTTAAAAGGTTCTCATTTGGCTTCTAAAGCAGATACAGAGCGGATTTTGTCTCTACATTTAGAGCAAATGAGGCTCTCTATCTGAGGAAAGTTTCAATTTTGTTAGAGTTTTGAGCGGAATTTGTTAATTTCTTTTAAACGGCTGATAGAAAAATTCGTCATTTGGGCATTGGGCTGAATTCGTTGGCAGAATTAGAGCCAACCATCGCTCTACATCTGGAGTGAATCTAGTTGATTTTTCCGAAGGCCTAACTAGAACTGGGGAATTTAAAAAGTCTGTTTTGAGCTTTTTATTGCCGCGGTGTAGACATTGTTTCAAAAATTGGCTGACCAAGTATGAATTTTCTTAAGGTATGGGACAGGTTTTGTGAACTTTTAGAAAACGTCGCTTTTGCTGTCTATAGGTGCTGTGCAAATTTTGTAGGCGCTGTTTTAAAAATTTATCGTTTTCTCCTTCGAGTACCTAGATAATTGAATTTACTTACCCATATAGAGCAAACATGGCTCTATAGCTGGGGTAAATTTGGTTTTCCCAAAGTCATAAGCAGACTTGTGAAATTAAAACAAAATCGACTACTTTTGGCTCTCAATTGGCGAAGTACAAGCTTTGTTTTAAAAATTCGTCATTTTTCTCTTAGAGCACTTGAAGAGCTGAATTTTTTTTGCTATATAGATCAATTATCGCTCTATATCTCGTGCGAATTGAGACTTTCTCTGCTTTGTTTTGCTCCCAGGAGAGATAGAGGAGTGATTATTTCCTGCCTAGATCAGAAGCAGACTGCACTATACAGGGTGGTTTTTTAGTGCGATAGAGTCCATTATTTCCGATGGTGTTGAACTTTCGAAAAATAGTTTCATATAAAAGTTGTTGACGGACAAAGTGCGCACATTTTAAAAATATCTTACATGATACAGAGTGTCTCAGAAAAGCGAGGCAAGATCAAAGTGTATTTTTTTAAATAGAACTACCCATTTTTCATTAACTCATGGATTGCAGCTTGAAACGCTGCTTGTGCACCGTAAATTGTTTTTTTCTTACTTCCGACGTTGGCAGATTATCGCCAACATAAAATTTTACTTAAAAACATGGTACCTAAAAATTCATTGTAGAAGCAAAAAAAAGCAGTTAAAGATACAAAAAAATACGTCTTCCCAATCCCCACAGATCCGTTAAGAATTCTATTGAACCAAAATAACAATACATTGTACAGGGTGTTAACAATGTGGACTTCCATCTAAAACTTTTGAATGCAATTTAACTTTTGTTTTTCAAAAGGAAGTACCTGTATATTAATTCGTCATAAGATAGACAATTTACAAAGTTACAAATTTTTATTTACACTTTAAGCTGTGAACTCAACCGTTTTCAAATTATAATTTATTTTATTTAAAATTTTCAAAAAATTGCTACATGTTTTAAGGTGGCTATGTAAGTCAATACATAAGTATCGGAGTTTACGGTGCATATGCAGCGTTTCAAGCTGCATTCCATGAACTAATGAAAAATGGGTAGTTCTATTTAAAAAAATACACTTTGACCTTTCCACGCTTTTCTGACACTCTGTATCACATAAAGTATTTTTTAAATTTGCGCACTGTGTGCGACAACAACTTTTATATAAAACTATTTTTCGAAAGTTCAACACCAACGGAAATAATGAACTCTGTCGCACTAAAAAACCACCCTGTATATAAGATGTGCGAGCACTTTCTCAGGCGTTTGAGGTAACTAAACAAGAACACTTTTGGCTTTTATTGGACATGTGCAAGCTTTGTTTAAAAAATTAGCCGGTTTGCTCTTTGAGCATTTGGAAAGTTGATGTTTTTGTCTGAATTTAGAGCAAACACGGCTCTAGCTCTGCGGCGAATTTGCACTTCCTCGCAGATTTGGAGAATTTTTCAAAACATATTATTTTCCCCCAATTCATTTGCACTATTACATCTGAAAAATGAATGTCTTCCTAACGAGAATCGGTATAAACGTACTCTCTGCAACATTTTAGAGAGCAATCATCAGCGGGGTGAACAAACCACGATCGGCGCGTGGAGTATTTATTTACGAATTTTTAGTTTAGACGGTGCAGTATTTACTAAAAGAGATTGGATAGTAACTTGCCCGTTCCAATATTGCATAGATCGGGCTTTGCTCTACAAATCTGGGAGTTTTATTGCGATAGAGTCCATTTTGGAGACATTTTCACACCACATTGCTTTTCCGCACTACTCCGCATTATGCGGGCCA